CACACACACACACACACACACACAGACACACACACCGAAATTGGCAGAATGCTCACACACTACATACTCACATGCAGGAGACACCCAGAGTCAAAGTACGCTGTTGTTGGGTACACAGGATACGCACGCAGTCAAGTTGCAAGGGCAGCATGCACTCCACACGCAGCCCCCACTGACTCCATTCTTACATGTTGCTTCAAGACTGCACTTTTACTCTCCAAGATAATTGCTGTCATCAGATCATCTCATAAAGGGAGGGTTACAGATGGTGACAAATTGGCAGGGAAAAAAACAGCCATGCACAGATATTTAAAGAAAAGACGTGCTAACACTTCTAACTTGGGGAAAGCAAAGGATTTTATTTGGGAGGTTTACAAGGAAAAAAAAAACACCAAGCAATATTTAACTGAAGCGCAATAGTGTGGCATCCATGCATTTGCCATCTGCCTTCCATATTGTCATTCCTTAATCAGGCCTGGTGTTGCCACAGTCTGCTGTACTGAAGACTGCTTAGTGTTTTTTACAGTTGGGGGCAGGGAGAGGAAGAGAGACAGACAGACATTTTCCTCTCACCAGCCCCCTTCACCAGAAGACTACAAGAATTTGACCTGAGATGGCTTGAAGTGGTTGCAAATACATAATCCGTTTCCTGACTCCCACCTCAGTTCCCAGACATCTTGCGGCAAGTGGTTCTAGCAATGGAATATTCTTGTGACTGAGAAAGGGCGTATGATGAATGGATTTGGCTGAGAAGTGTTGCATTGCTTTCTTAGTCATTTTTCCACCCCAAGTTGCATATTCTCAAACAGGAGACAGAACAGTGTCAGAGAATGAAAGAGTCAGACTCAGTTTCCCCATCTGTAAAATGGAAGAAAGAATAGTACCTACTTCAAAGGGTGGTTCTGAGTATTAAATGAAATGGTATTTGTAAAGTACTTTGGATGGTGCCTGGAATTTGGATGGTACTCTTTATGCAAAGAGCACTTGTTATGTCAGTACTATTTCATTTTAATTATTATTATCACTCACGAACCATAGCTACAAATGGGAATTGTAAGACTAGAAGAAGCCTGTTCTAATTCCCAGATGGCAGAATAAGCAGATATTTACTAGGTTAGTCAGGGTTCCCTTTCACTTCTTAGCAAAACTGGAGACTGAAGCAGCAGATCTTTAAAAAATGACACACCGCTTTCCTCTTCCTCCTCCCCTCCCCAAAGTTACATGGAGAAAAACAGGGCATCAAGGTCATTCCTTCTCCAGGGAATTCCACCATGGTGTGTGGTCATGTGAGTACAATCAAAGCTACTGCAGAAGAATCACCTGTCAACAGGATGATCAGAATTAGTCTTATGACCACTGCAACACCATATTGTAATTGACCAAGTTTATGCAATATTTTGCTATCTGACAACCACTATTCTAGGTGCTTTATATCTATGTGTTCATTTACCCCAATTATATTTATGAAGCCATTCTACAGATGAGGAAACTGAGGCATAGAGATGCTGAGAGCCACAGCTAGTAGGTGGCAGAGCTTGGATTCAAACACAGGGTTTCTGACTCCTTTCTGGAAAATAATTTGGCAATAGGAATCCAAAGGAGGCTATGTATCCTCCTACCATTAGTTGCTAGTCTTTTCTACATCTCCTCTAGAAAGAGTAAGTGGAAACATCATTTTCAAGCCAAGCAGATTTGGACTCAAATCTGGAATATCTTTATCAAGTTCTGATGTTTAGTTTTTCTTATCTGTATCATGAGAACAATTAAATGCAAGCACATATTAAAGAGTCTGATACCTATGTTTACAGTTTTCTCAGATTCACAGGCTTCCCTTAATAGCATTTCTTTTCATATATCTTATAACCATAATCATTTATAAGGCCCATAACTATTCCTGATTACATATTAAATAACCTATTACAAAAGGTTTGGAGGTGGTTTTATTCTATAAGTCTTCTGTATGTATTTATTTATTTTTAAAGAGAGAGAGAATTTTAATATTTATTTTTTAGTTTTCGGCGGACACAACATCTTTGTTTGTGTGTGGTGCTGAGGATCCAACCCCGGGGGCACACATGCCAGGCGATCGCACTACCACTTGAGCCACATCCCCAGCCCTTTCCTCTGTATTTATAACTTTTGACTTTTTTCTTATAGTCTTCCATTTTTTCTCTTTTCTGCTCTTTTTCCCCCTACATATTTTTCCCCTTTCTTTCTCTAAACTGACTAAACTAAGAGGGAATGGACAATTCACTCTTAACTTTACAAGCACAATGCAGTCACAATGATAACAAGAAACATTGGTGTTCAGTATTTTTTTTTTAAAGAATCTTTTAATATTTATTTTTTAGTTATCGGCAGACACAACATCTTTGTTTGTATGTGGTGCTGAGGATCGAACCCAGGCCGCACGCATGCCAGGCAAGCGCGCTACTACTCGAGCCACATCCCCACCCCCTAGTGTTTAGTATTGACAAAGCTGGGAAATATGGGTATTCTCATTTATTGCTAGTAGTTTATAAATGGATACAACATTTTTGGCACTTTGAATCAAAAGATATAAAAGTGTTCACATTGACCCAGAAAGTCATGCTTCTAGGGAACTGTTATCTAAAGAATGTTTGTATCACTGGGTATAATAGCACACACCTAGTATCCCAGCTACTCAGGAGGCTGAGACAGGAGGATCTAGGTTCAAGGCTAGTCTTGGCAACCCGTTTCAAAATAAAATAAAAGTGCAATGGCACATGCCTATAATCCCAGCAAAGTGGGAGACTGAAGCAGGAGGATTGCAGGTTTGAGGCCATCTCAGAATTTAGCAAGGCCCTAAGCAACTTAGCAAGACCCTGTGTCCAAATAAAAAATAACAGGGTTGGGATGTGGCTCAGTGGTTAAGCACCCCTGGCTTCAATCCCTCCTACCAAAAACCAAACAACAAAACATACATTGCCAATGTATCTCAGTACCAGTGTCCAGTACTGGGGGAGAAAAAACATATTTGCATTAATTAGCTTTTGCTGTGTAACAAAGGATCCCAAATGTAGCAGATTAAAATAACAAACATTCATTACCTTTCATATTCTGTGGAGTGATTGCTATGAGTGGGTGATTTTCAGGGCTGGGCCAGCTCAGTAGGAGCTGATGGTCTGGGATGACTTAAAATGGTCTCATTAACATGTTTGGGCTTTAGCTGGGATGACTAAATCCCATCTCTCTGTAGTTTTTCCTCTTCTAATAAGCTAACTATAACTTCTTCAGATAGTGGTCTCAGTATTCTCAGCATCAAAAAAGGAGACATGCCTTGATACATAGGCATTTTTCAAGCCTCTGCTCCATCATACTTGCTAACATCCCCACTGGGCAAAGCAAATCAAATGGTCTAGCCCAGATTCAGAAATAGACTCACTTCTTGATTGGATGAGCAACAAAATATCATGGTCATGCTTTTAAAACATTTGTTCATCGCAGCACTATTTATAATACAAAAGAAAAAAGGGAGTGTCAATGTCCAAGAGAAGAGGGCTTCTTGAATAAATCAAACACCCACACATTGGGACATTTGCAAATGATAGAAGAGGAGTTAATGCAATGGGGAAATATATTCTACATATAGGTTTAGGTGGGAGAGAAAAAGGGTTACAAAATCTCAATTTTGTGAAGCTACACACACACACACACACACACACACACACACACACACCCCTTAATTACAGGTGTTTGCCACTACACCTGCTCCAGTGTCATTCTTAAAGGTAATCATTATCATTAGCAGTTTGGTATCCCATCATATCTTTCTCTTTTTTTAAAATAATATTTTCACTTGTAGATGGACACAATACCTTTATTTTATTTGTTTATTTTTATGTGGTGTTGAGAATCCAACCCAGTGTCTCACGTGTTAGGCAAGCATTCCACTGCTGAGCTACAACCACAGCCCCAGATCTTTCTTTTACGCATTTACATACTTAAACATCATGTGTGTGTGTGTGTGTGTGTGTGTGTGAGTGTGTACACTTTCCCCTCACATATGAAATTATATTTTCCATGTTATTCGGTGACATTTTGATAAGCCTTGGAGATCTTACATGTCTGTTTACACAGATCTGCCTCATTCTTTTTTTGTGTGTGTAATTTATCAGCATCTTTTAAATAGAACAAGTCCTGGAAATACCCTGATGGTAAAGGCTTCCTTTGAGTGGATAGGGTAGGGGCAAAGGGCCTTATCAGAGCATTTAAGAAGGAGAAACCTTCTTAAAAAAAAAAAATTACCCAAAACTATTTGTAACAGTTTGTATTTATTTTATTTTTTTTTAAATTATTATTATTTTTTTAATATTTATTTTTAGTTCTCGGCCTACACAACATCTTCGTTTGTATGTGGTGCTGAGGATGGAACCTCTGCTGCACGCATGCCAGGCGAGCGCACTACCGCTTGAGCCACATCCCCAGCCCCAGCTTGTATTTATTTTCAAAGTCTGGTGTAACAAAGTACCACAAACTGGTTGGCTCAAAACAACAGAAATATTCTTTCATAGTTTTGGAGGCTAGAAGTTCAAAATTAACGTTTTGGGAGGGCCATCCTCCCTCAGAAAGATCTAGGGAAGAAACTTTTGTGGCTCCTTCAGTTCCTGGTAGCTTCCACTCCTATTACTCTGCCTCCTTCATTTGGTCTTTTCTCCTGTGTGTTTCTGTGTGCCTGTCCTCTTCATACAAAGACATCAATGATTGGGTTTTTGGGCCCACATTAATTCAGTTTGGCCTCATTTTAATTTTGTTACTTGTATTTGTAAGTATTTTATTTCCAAATAAGGTCACAATCTAGGTACTGGGTGGACATGAATTGAGGTGTATGTGAAAAGGGTTCTATTCAACTCACTATATGGCTGTACAGCTTCCACTTGAATAAAAATGTTGATAATTGCCAAAACACTTATTATTTTGTTTGGGACCTATGGAGTAAGTTCACTAGATTTGGGGGGACATTCAAGTGAGAAACAATGTGCCATTACACATTTCCAAATTTTATTTCATTTTAACTGAAAATATATTTTCTTCTCATGAGCAAGGATGCAAACATCAGAATTTTAAGTATAGGATCAAAGTTTAAAGAACTCCTCCACATTTTTATAATATAGCTGAATCTTATTTATACACAGTATTGCAATATCTTTACAGTATTCCCTTAAGGCTTTTGCTTTAAGCATGGTCCAGCATACATAGGAAGGACAAGAATATAATTTAAACAAATGAATTCGGGCTTACATTGTTAATCCCCGTTTTCCCTCATTCTGTAGGGAGAAATGAATTGTTTAAATTCCCCACACAAAGCTGTTATCTTTGCCTGAACAAGAACTCTCATGGCCCCTTCTTTAGCACATTTGGTGAGGGGTTACTCATTACCTACTGAGACAACATACAGTCTCTTTGTAATTTGACTGGAATGAGTAGAAAGGGCCTCCGCCTGGGGTGTGGAGTGAACTTACAAAGTGATTATTATCTTCATCAGCGCTGTCGTCACTTTCGCCGAATGTGAGACACCCCCTCCCCTCCAAGGCCTGTGATTGCGCCAGAGCCTTTGCGCGCTAGCAAGCAGGTGACGTTGCCGCTGACGGCCAGCTAGGGCGGGGGTGGGGGTTGCCAGAGGTAAGTGGGAAAGAGCTTGTTCCGGTCCAAGCCGCTAGAACTCTCCCGTGGTCCCGGCAACCAGGGCTAGGGGCGCCCTCAGTCCCTCCCTCCCTCCCTCCCTCGCGACCCATACTGGCAAGCGCCACGTCCTCAGGCGCTCCTTGCTTCCCCGCGTCACCCGCAGCCCAGGCGCCCCCCACGACGCTGCCATTCATCCCTCCTACACTGCAAACGCGCGGGAGCCTCCAGGGCTGGAAGAACCAAAAGGCGCAGCGGGCTCTTCGAGTCCCGATTTCGGCCGGGAGTCCGCTTTGGTGCGCGATGTGATCTTGGATTTACTTAGACTCCTCCTAGCAGAGGCTGAAATAGACTAAGGAGACAGAGACACAGTAGAGCAAAGGTTACAGGGGCCAAACATGGAAACAGATTCAGAAAGGCAAAGATCCTAACACAGAGATATACAGGGAGACACGTAGAGATACACTGACATACAGAGACAGACATAGAAAGGCAGTGGGAGATGAACAGACCCTGAAGAACCGCTAGAGACCCGCAGAGCAACTAGGATAAAAGAGCGCGCCAACCACGAGGGCACCACCCACAGGCCTGAGCTCTTCCCGCGCTCCTGTGGATTTGTGTCTTTTCCATTCTTCACCCGTACTCAGAGCTTCCTGCCGCCGCGGTTCTGTTGTCCGCTCTTTGAGTTGATTGCCTTGCTGCTGTTTTCAGGCCCCGAAGGGCCGCGCCAGCTTTTGCACCCCTGCTCAGTCTCCTTTGCACAGCCTTCTGAACCTTGGTGTCGGACCCTCCCCCTTTCTCTCTAAGTACCAGGCTCGCTCCCAATTTCTCTCTAGTCCTGCCCCTCCCCGCCAGCTCTTCCCAGCGTTGGTCGGTACAGTTCTTCCAGACCCACTGCGGGCCATTCCCCGCCATTGTGCGGGAACCTCCCACTGCTGCTCCCTCCTTTCGGGGGATAGCTGGGCGCGCTTCGGCCCCTCAGCCCCGCCTCTTTCTCCTGGCCGGTGCCCGCCCCGCCTCCACCGCGCCCCGCCCGCCGTTCTCTGCCGCAGTCGGGCGCTCATCGTCATTCCGCTCTCGCCGCCGCCGCCACCCCCGCCCCCCGCTCACTGCCCCCGCCCCCGCCCGGTCCCCGCCGCCGCCGCCGCCGCCTGCCCAGCGGCCCGGGAGGCGGAGGCGCGGGGGAGGAGGCCCCGCTTGGCTCCGCAGTCCCGGATGCTGCATGACTTCATCCTTCCGCCGGCTCCCCTACTGAGCTAGGGCCGGTCCGGCAACTAGCCCGCCGCCCGCGCCCCGCTGCAGTCCCGCACCCGCCCCGCGCCCACCATGTCCGAGATCCTACCTTACAGCGAGGACAAGATGGGCCGCTTCGGCGCAGACCCCGAGGGCTCCGACCTCTCCTTCAGCTGCCGCCTGCAGGACACCAACTCCTTCTTCGCGGGCAACCAGGCCAAGCGACCCCCCAAGCTGGGCCAGATCGGCCGAGCCAAGCGAGGTACGCGGCCCCGGCTCGGAGTCGCCGCCTGACCCAGAAACCCTCCGCTGGGCGCCCCCCGGCTGCCGTTCCCTCCGAGTAGCCGCAGCTCCTGCCGCAGACCAGCGCAGCCAGCCGCTCTTCGGCCCGGGTTGTGGGGGGAGGGTCCCTGCTGCAGTATTGTCCCCCTCTTCTCCTCTCCCGGGAACACAGTGCCCCGGATTCGATCGGTGCTCGCCACCTCTGGAAGCAGAGCCCTGGCACCTGGGCGAGGGGGAGGGGCCGGTCCGGGCATTTGGGGCTGCTTGGAAGTGGGAACAGAATGGTGGGCCAATTCTTTGGGATCAAATGCTCAGTCGGTGGATGCTACGAAGAACCTTCAGGTCCAGAGGGTCGTCCGACTGGAGGGCAGAAAGGCCAGGGGTTCTGTTGTCCTGGTTGTTTGCATGGGGAGGGGGACTTTGTTGGTCCCAGGATCGGAAGAGGGGTTCAAGTAGCAAGAGGTTTAGGTGAGGAAGAGGGTCGGATTAGCTGCATGTTCCGTTTGAGCCCCATTTGAGGAAGGGGTTCTGTTGAACTGAGGGTTGAAGAGGGAGGTTCTATGAGCTAGAGATATCTCTGCTCAGCTCAGATTAAGGAAGGCTCAGGTGGCGGGAGGGTTCGCACTGGGAGGCATAATTGCCAGAGCTTTTGGAAGAGGGGCGTTCCAACATAGGGAGGGAAGGGGGTCTGTGGGAGCGAGGCTTGGTAGCCTGGAGGGAGGCAGGAATGTTTGGATGGGGAAGGCTCGGTGGCACCGGGTTCCGAGGGGGCGTCGCTGGGCTGGGGGGCAGTAGCTACGCGGGGCGCGAGGACGCGGGGCCCATTCTCGCCGCCGCCCCCCGAGGCCGCGCGGCTGACGCGCTTTCTCCCTGCGCAGTGGTGATCGAGGATGACCGGATAGACGACGTGCTGAAGGGGATGGGGGAGAAGCCGCCGTCCGGAGTGTAGACGCGCTGGC